GAGGAACTGGATGGGTACACAGCTGGTGGGGATATAAAGTGGTAGAATCACCTTCTTAAAAAGGTAAGCATACACCAGTCATATCCAACCATTCTTTTCCAAGAAAAGATAAGTTATATAGCAATAGAAGGAATTTTATATCAGTGTTCTTGGCTATTTTATTTGTAAAAGCCCCAAACTGGAAAAAAATCCAAATGTCTATCAATAGATGATAGACAAATTGTGGTACGTACATATAATGAAATGCTACTCAGCAATAAAAATAGATGATAGATAAACTGATGTAGATGAATCTCAAATTATGCTGAATGACAAAAGCCATAGAAAATATATTATCCCATACACATAAAACTTGAGGAATACAAAGCAATCTATTAAGATAGACATTTTGCTGGAGGAGTGGGAAAGTGGGGGGGCAAGAAGGAAGGGTGACAAAGGGCAGAATTACCTAGAGAATGAGAATATTTTTGGAAGTAAAGGATGTGTATATTATCTTGATTATAATGGTGATTTCATAATTTCATGTTAAAATTTATCAAATTGCACACTTTAAATACATGTAATTTATTTCATGCCAATTTTACCTCAAAGCTATAAGAAATATATTCATCTTTTTTCACTTTCTAAGATACAAATAGTATTCTATAAATACTTTTCTCTACTTCATTTTCATGTATTCTGGAAATCAGCTCTTAGCAGTATTTAAAATTATTTTCTTTCTTCTTTGGTTTATTCAACAACTTTTATTGATGACAGTTGTTTCAGCCTTTTGTGACCATCTTGTGTTATTATAATTAAAGCTTGAATAACATAGTTTTGTAAATACAAGTTTTAAACATTTGTTGTTGTATTCCCAGTATATTTATAAGTTAGGGCTGGGGGACTATAGCTCAGCAGTAGAGCACTTGCCCTAGGTACCCTTCCCCAGCACTGAAAAAGTTAAAAAAAAAAAAAAAAAAAAGTGGGATTGTGGAGTTAATAGGTAAATATATAAGCAGTTTTGGGAGATGTTGCCAAATCTCATTCATAAGGGTTGTATCATTTTGTATACTTATCAGCAGTGTCTGAGAATTTGTATTCCCCCACATTCTCTCACCTACTGAGTATGTTGTCAAACGTTTGGATCTTGCCAATGCAAGTGAGAAATGGTATCTTGGTGTGGTTTAATTTGTATTTTGTTCATTATGAGCTAAGCAGAGCATGTTTCCATGTTATTGCTATTTGCATTTCTTTTCCTGAGATCTGTTTATTTCTTCAGCCCATTTTTGTATAGGTTTGCTGGCCATTTCATTTATAATGTTCTTTATATTTCAGGAACATGATTCTTTGGACAATAATATGTTGCAAATATTTTTTCTCAGGTTGTCATTGTTAAACTGCATGTGTGTGTGTGTGTGTGTGTGTGTGTGTGTAGCAGGTTTAGATACAGCCAGGAAAGATTTTTTCATTGAGGCAGGTTTTGCCCACTCATAATACATAGAAAATTTCACCCAATATTTTCTAGTACTTGTTTATTTTCTATTTTTACATTCATGTTTCTTATCCATTTGTAGTTTATCTTTTGAATAAGTAGAGAAAAATCCAATTTTATAATTTTCCATGTGGTATTTGCAAACGCTACAAAAAAGTCTATTTTCCCCAAACTCACTTTTATTGTACCCCAAATGTCCAGTGCAGTTGGTTCTGTTTCTGGATTCTCTATTCTGTCCCACAAACTCTATGTATTCTTGGGCTTGGACGAGGGTACATGATTTGATTTTATAGTCTGCCCTCCCTGTACCCTTCATTGCTCTTCTTTTTCAGTGCTTTCCTGCTTATTCTTGTTCTTTTGAATTGACTATATTCAACTTGACGACAGATTTTTAAAGATCCACATATGTTCATTCCCTCCCCAAGTTAAACGTCCCCAGTTTCTTCAATTTTTAGCACGTGCTTTTCAGGCTATTCATGATTCTGTTCTTTTCCACAAGTCATGCAACCTTAAAATGTGGCATCCAGAAATGAAGCCACCAGCGTGGGGTGATAATGACATGATTCCTTAGGGTAAGGCTTTTTAAAAAGAGTATCATCCACAAGTGGAGAAAGTAACATAGGACTGGAGTGAGCAGGGAAGGAAAGCCCAGTCCGAGCAGTAGTCCTTTAGAAGGGAGCAGGAGAAGCATCTCCTCTTGTGTCTGCTCTTTTGGGGCAGGTACCTGGTGTCTCAACACGTTGACAAAAGGGTTTTGCTCTGGGAGGGGCTGGGAGGCCTGACTTTCTCCTTTTTCCTAGTCTCTGCCTATAATCCCCTTCTGCTAGTTCCCTGGCTTCCTCCAGGGCCTTCTAAATCGCAGGTCCTCTCCCAGTTCCAGGGTCAGGTGAGCCTCTTTCCTCCTGGAGTCCTTTCATTTGGACTCTTCCGCTGCACTCTCCTCGAGCTGTCCCCTCCGTGCTCCGTAGTTCGTTCTTCCCGCTCCCGGCCCCGCCCCTCGGCATCCTCCATCTGCTCACTGCAGTCCGCCCAGTGGCTTCGTCTGATGACACGTTTTACATGCGTTGGGCGGAAAGCGCCTGCGTGGAGGTAGGCAAAGTTCACTCCCAGTACCCGCCCCCTGCGCTGGGTCCTCCCGAAGTAGGAAACGGTGAAAGAGAGGGTCCTGTGCTGTTCTGCAGGGAAGCGTCGCTTCCGCTCAGCTGTCCCTACACCATGGACTCAGTACCTGCCACTGTGCCTTCTGTCACTGCTTCCCCGGGGAACCCGGAGCTCCTGGGACTCCTGTAGGTGCTCTACGCAGCCCTCATAGCCAAGCTACTGGAGGTGACGGTCCCATTCCCAGCGAGGGACCCCAGCTCTGGCAGGCGGGTGGCTGAGTTCTGGCGGAGTGGGTGCACTGACTGTCGCGGCGACGGAGAAATGGAGTGTGTCAGGCCCAAGGCAGGCAGGACGTGACTGTATTGTTAAGCGAGGCCGGTGAGGGTGTACTTGAGCTTTCCCCACTTGCACTTTTTTTTTGACGGAATAGAGGTGACAACCTCATGTTATGTTCCGAAATGCAGCCAGCAATCGAAACAGCTAACATTACTACAGGTCTTTTCCCTACGGAGAGTGCTGGGGAATTGGGCCCAAATGACAGTTATCTCTCATTACGTGTAGAGGGCGGTGAAAATAGGGAAGAGTAGGCAGGTGTTTAATGCACTGCCTTTGAGCAACCATTTAAAATTAGGCTTTGAATTTTATAGAAGGATGTTAAATTCAGAGAAGTTTATCTAAGCCAGTTTTCAAGAGTTGTCTGAAATTACATGTCACTTATCTGTTTATATAAGAGTGGAATGGAAGTAAGATTTAAAATCTTATACGTATATCATCATTGTTTTTATTTGTTGCCATAAAATTAATTAGTTCTTTCATATATTTAAGTTTTTGTCTTAAATGAATTTTTAAATTATAAAAACCAGGTTATCTAAGAGAAAAGAATGATCCAGAGGGATTCTAGCCAGGTGTTAGACAATGTGATGATATAGGGCCTGTTACAAACTGGAAATGTATGCTCAATTTAAAGTATTTAGATTCGGGCTGGGGTTGTGGTTCAGTGGTAGAGCGCTTGCCTAGCATGCATGAGGCACAGGGTTAGGGTTAGGGGTTCAATCCTCAGCACCATATAAAAACAAAATAATGTGTCCACCTAAAACTAAAGATACATAAATAAATATTTTTTAAAAAGTATTTAGATTCATTATACTTGAAAACACTGCAAGTGAACAAAAAATATGAGACTGCCAGTATCCTCTCTCTTGAAGAAGCTATTGGAAAATATTGAGGAGGTGGATTTCTGATGAGGAGGTTGGTTTAGAATTGCCATGATTCTTTGTGACTGTTTTGTTATAAATTTAAGGTTTCCCATTTCTCCTAATTTGTCTGTTTCAGCTGTTTACTACATTGCCTGATGATACTCAACCTGGGCCTGATTTTTATGGACTACCATGGAAGCCTGTAGTTTTCACTGTTTTGTTTGGATTTGTATCCTTTGTCGTTTTCTTTTGGAAAACTATTCTTGTTGTGAGTAAATTAACTTACTTATACCTTAGCACATAAGCACAAGGATTATTTTATATAGTCACTGGCCCCCACCTTTTTTTTTTCTTTTTCAGTTGCTAAAACACAAATTAGTGGTTTAAGTCAAACTAACCTTATAAAATAATTTAGTGTGGGTGCAGTTGGTAGAACTGGTAATTCTTACAGCCATCCTGACCAGTAGTTTCATATGTATCAGAAGTTTTAAAAGTGGGATAAAAGATGGAATAGGTTAGATAAATATCCTTTTATGTAGCATATATGTCTAGTAATCTATATTAAAGAAATAACCATACTTTGAAGATTTTGGTAATGTTTTTCAGTGGAACAGTGTATTAGATTG